AACCTGCTTTAGGGAAGGAAACTACAAACTGCAGACCACAGGGATACATTTATATTTTTGTAGGCGTAAAAAATACAGACAGGAGAAAAGTGTCGGGCACTTTTATACCGAGAAGACACACAACTCACATATAGTCTTAGGAGATATTAGCTTTGATTATGTAGCATGTATTATTTCACTTATTATGCAGGAATACAAATGTTTCAAACAATCTGATCTATTCATAAATACATTTAGTATTACAAATAGTATTACAAAACAGTTGTGTAATTTAAAAAAAATTCTAAATACTCTACTTTTTAAATTTACAGCCTGTTGGTCCTCAAACTGAGAAGAAAAACATATATGGGCCACAGTATGTTGAATTTATTTTAGTGTTTATTAAAACAAACATACATTTTGGGGTGTTTTTGTTTTTTTAATTGTTGAATCAACCAAAAATTTGATTCAAGTACATGAGCAGACCCTGGTCCTGCCTGTGAAGAAGGCATATGAGTTCAGGTGAAATCCAAGGTTTCTTTTTCAGAACCATTTCATACATAAGTAACAATACATTAAAAATAAAGATTACCCTGGCTTGGTTTTTGCTAACCTTTAGCCTTCTTTGTTCATTTTCTGGGAAACTTTTCCATGTGTTTGACAGTTTGATTTAGGGTATTTTTACTACCATTTCAATATTTTGCACATGGTTGCTAGGAAACCATTTTGTTTAGTAATGTCATCTCAATTCTTTCATCAATTTCTTTTGTTTTTGTGCCATGCTAAAATGTGTGGAGTGGAGTGGAAAAAACATAGAGCCCAAAGAACACCATCCTCACAGTGAATCTCAGGAGCAGTGAGTGAATGTGTAAATAAAAGGCACTGGACCTTTTTCAATAATCTAAAATGACAGTGTCTTTAAGTAGCTGCCTAACTGTATTTTATTTGGTTCACAAGAAGTGAAGAACTAAAAAAACTAATCTGCCATTAACCCCCTGCTGTAGCGAACTTAAATGGACCTTTCTGTTTGAATATGTTGCTTGGTAACAAATTTTCAAATCAAGTCTTTGAAAAAGCCTCTAGGAAATTTACCGTCGACTGAGAAAAAGTAGCTGGAAAAAGAGGGGCTATAGTGTCGTTGGCTTCAGACCAGATCAGGCGAGAATCATCTCTTTTTTATTTTTTTAATCGTCCTTCCCTTCCCTGCTTTCTTTCTTTCTTGCTTTCCTCAATGCCCTTGAATGAACACTGAATGGTAGAGTTGACGACAGATTGTTGGGCAGTTGCCTCTCATGCAGATTAAGCCATTTGATGGAGGGGAGTGTTTGATGTGCTGTGGGTTGTAATAAAAGAAAACGAACGTCCAAGGCCAGGGTTGGTTTTACTCGCAAAAGCTGTCCTCACTGATAACTTCATCACTGCATGTGGTCAAACGTGGGATACATTCAGGAAAAAAAGGACATTTTTTTTTTTTTTGCCCTGCGCCCCCCATGGAGCCACAGAGAGCTGCAGGAGCACGGCTCGAAGGTCTGTGATCTACCTCTTGGTATTGTCAGCCGTTCCCTCTCTTCTCACAGCCTCAGAAACAGAATGACTGGGCCTTTCTGCTGGGATTAGATGGCTTTTGTAATTAATGGAATCTGCTTTCCACGCTATGTTCTATGAATGCCGTCAGATGAAACCAACCAGATATAGTGTGTGTGTTTGTGTGTGTGTGTGTGAAAGAGAGAGAGAGAGAGAGACTGTGCCACTGTGAAGTTTTTTTTAACAATCCTACTGCTAATTTAAAGGAGAAGTCATCTCTGTTTAGGACCATAAGTGTTGTTGTTTATGTGAGACTCTTTTTTGCACTTCAGGAGACTGCCAGAATATATGACATAAAAATCAAATGTCTTTCAGTTTATTATTATGTCATATAATTTGGCACTTGGATAAGCATTGTAATTCAGGACTTTTGATCAATGTGTTACTGCTGCTTTTGTTAATATGAAGATGCGTGCAGATACGTTAGTTTTGGTTATACAGTTAAAAACTTCATGATCATGGCCTAAATATTTAGGAGTAGTCTTTTTCAATCTAATGTTATTCTAATCTTATTGACTTGCGTCTGGGCCAGCTCTGTTTTTAAACAACCTTCTAGTTGATTTCTGGCCAAGCTGCGGTCAACTTTAGCCCACAACAATTACAGACCACCCCTCTGTGCCACAGACAGTACAAATCAAACTGTCTTTAGGGCAACAAATGGGTCAGAGCTGCTCCTCAGCATTTTTAAAAAGACAGATGAATTCCTGGTTGAGGTCTGAGCTTGTTATCTGTAATATATCTTTCAGTAACAACTACAAAAACATTTTTCTCACGGCCAGAGTTAATCTTAACCTAAATCTAATGCAGATATTTATGCTGCTGTGAATTGATTACAGACGGTGGATGGCGAAAAAAAAAAAAAAAAAAAAGACAATAGGAATCAAGCCTAAGATTCTGTTGAAACACTGGGACCGTTCAAGTTTATCAAACAGCTTAATTAACAGCTTGAGTAACCCTTAGCTGTGAGTGCTCTGTGAGAAATAACACATTTGTTTTGCATCAGTCTGCCCCCCCACCACTCCCCCCGTTTCCTTCTTCTTCTTTTTTCCCTCCTTTTCTCTTCTCTTGTCAGAGACGAGGTGAGAAATCTGGAGATTTGTGAGACGGCCAATTATAATGCAGCAGCAGCAGCAGTGAGGAGCAGGGAGAAACAGGCAGGTGGAGAGGATGCGGAGAATCACAGTAAATTCACCTCCACCTCCTTTCATGTTTCATTTATGGGGATAAATTTTTCAACTCCTAAAAAAAACATGCTGGCTGATGTAGGAGACAGAGTTCTACATGACCCTCGGAGTCAGCCTGAATTTTCTCTCTCTCTTTTCTACCTTAACAGTGGTTTTTCAAACTATTTATGCAGGAACGAGTGCAGGAATGAACTTATTTCAGTTTTGCCTGTGCAAATTTGTTTCACTGAATTAAACGTTGGTCAGAAATTTTTATGAACTGCTGAATTTATCCATGAGTTAATGTTCAATTTTCTTTGATTTTTTTTTTTTTTTTTTTTGCAGATAGATCAGTTAAATACGTTCCAATGCATATTACATTAAATTTGGTAGTTTGGTACCTTGGGCTGATGGTTACATAATTCCTTGACCTTGGAAAATATTTCCTCTGAATTATAAGGTAGAGTGAGGATCTGCAGAGTGGAGTGGAATGGAGTGTTTCCAACAAAGCATGGGTTGAACATTATTTCATGCATGTTTATCACATGACAAACATTTAAGAATGAGGAAGAAGCATGTTTAATAAAAGTCAACTCACAAGAGGGAGCCAACGCAGCTGCAGGGTAACTTAATGACAGGAAACTATAGTGAGAAAAATATAAATATTAGCTAAAGGTTTGTTCAAGTTGATCGTAAATTGATGAACCAACGCTGATTTTAAAAGCTGGCTGTAAATAAAACACATTTTACTCAAATGTTTGCCAACGTTGCCAAACAGCCAACACCTTAATATATATATATATATATATACGTAACTAAATGTTAGCATTAATAATAAGTTTAGCCAAATTGATGCAATAACCATTGGGATGAAGGTCAGCCCAAACAAGACAAAAAAGCTAAATTTAGCGGTGGCTGATTCAAATGCATGGTTAAATGTCAGAGAAAAATGTAAAATAAAATAAAATAGAATTTAACCATATAATAAAATATAACTACAGTAAAAAAGTTAAAAACAAATATTATCTTAGAAATAGCTAAAAAAATAAAACCAGCTCATATTTTTGACCCACTCACCAAAGGTTAGCCACGAAATAGCAGATAGCAACTGCCAAGAAATAACTATAACATAGCCAGTAAAGAGATAAAGGTATGTAAAACTTTGCTAATATCTGCTAAAAAAATAACCCAACGTAATAGCTAGAGTAGAAAAATAAATAGTAGAAAAAGATTCTCCAAAAGGAAGAGTCAATCAGATAAGGAAAACCTAAAATGGAGTCCAAATACATTTGATATTTGTCAACATAGTTTAAAGGTAGCACTTGCTTGCAATAATTAGCTACAATTAAATTGAAATTATAATTTTAACCATCCTTTAAAACACCAAGATTATAAAAGAATTCACAGGTTAATGATGGTCCGAGCCAACACACAGGATCAGTTTTAAACACATTGGCCACATTTCACCATTGAACTAGAAAATAAAGACTCCATCTAATCAATAAACCCAAATTATCACATTCATGGTCAACCTATCCTTGCATCTTCATCTGTCACTGAGATCCAGGCATTGTTCAGTGTGAAGTATTCCATTTTACACTGTAATTATTATTATTCCTGTTTTTTATACAACTAAACATGAAGAACTCAATATCTTTTCAATGGTTTACAGCTAAACCCTTGGCCAGCTTCACTATAATTGAATGCTGAGTGTTTGAATGGTGCTGCTGCACTCCGACCAATCAATGTTGGAAAAAAAGCTATTGTGTTTGAATTTTAAGTAAGAAAAAAAAGCAGTATCAGCTTGAGTCATGTGGGCTTTAATTGGTTTCTGTAGAAGAGCAGAATATTGGTTGCACAGTCTTAACCTGGTATTTTTGAAATGTCTATGTTAGACAGATTACATCAAATTAGTAATTACGTGCAATTTGTTTACAGATAATGCATTATTATTGAGAGCGTAGGAGGGAAAAATGTGGTATCATTCGTTATCGGTATTGGTAGATACTCCAGATCGCAGTATCGGTATCGGATATCGTTAAAAATGATTGCATTATTTGAAGAAGAAAACAAAATGTCCCTAAAAGGTAAAGTTCAGGCGCAAGAGTGCATTTCCAGCCCTGCTCCCGTGCCAGTGTCGGGCACACACTCCCGTCTCTGATAACAGAAAGAATTAGTTTCACACCTGTTTCCTGTTGAAAGTGATAGTTGAAACTTTGAGCGACGCATCCTCTCTCTTTTGGGGGAATTTAATCATTATTTCATTATATTTAGGAGCCGCCTGCAGCGCTGAGAGGCATCAGAAGCAGCAGCATCAGCATCAGCAGCAGAGGCGGGCGGCGCTGAGGG